TCCTACTCGGACTTTCTCAGGTGCTCACCACTGACAATCAACAGCTTTTGTGGATCGCAGGGAGTTCTACTCAAACAAGCCTGGTGTCCAATCTTTGACCTGTCATGTGGCTTGTTTAGAATGAAGCTAACCAGAATCTTGCTCCAATTGAGCGCCCCTTCTATAAGAGGCTTTGGACCAATTATAACCTTAAATTTAGGAGGTCAAATGAGCACCGCTCCAAGACTTTCCTATCTGTTTGGAGTTTGAAGAGCTGTGGAGCTTTTGCATGATCCTGGACATCTTTTTCTTGAGTATTCAGTTCAACGTCCTAATTGCTTTCTGCTCACAATTCCAACAAATTTACTTACCAAAAGTCATCAGCAGTTTAACTAGTGTTCATGATACTTACTTACTTGGTACTTGAACGGTTCGTCTTCACTAATTGTGCGGACCCCAGCACATATTCCATTTGTCTCTCTGCTGCGCGACAGTCGTCCATAACGGTGGTCTAATTTGAGCATAGCGGCCGCTGCGAGTGTCATACCGTGATCTGAAGAAAATGGGAGCTACGAGTACAGCTCCTCAATTCTTTTAAACAATACGTCCGTCCAACGTGTAGGTGGTCGTCCTCAAGGGCGAGTACATTGTCGTATTCATGATAAGCGAACGTCAATTGCGAGGACAAGTTCGAAGTTATCTACATGTCTTGAAAAATGTCTCCATTTCTACCATTTTCCTCTCGCCACGACAGTAAATCATTTCGAGTTGTGAAAGAGTGGATAAGAAAACTTTTGTAGATGACTAATGTTCGTTGATTCAACATATTTGCCACCGCACGGACATTATAATTCCTCTATACGACTGAAAATTCCCGTAAATTCACCAATCAGTCGGCCCTTTCTTTTGGCATTTTTTTTTCCTTTTTGTCAAACGTCCCATGTCAATCGATTTGAAGGGGATAAGCCGTGTATTGTGTTCCATACAGCTTCGTAGATTTGACTGGATGCTGAGCTAACCTACGCAGTGGTTTATGGTAAAGTACCAAAATACTATACCAATATTTTTTATTCTATTCGATACGTCCATTATTACTTTGTCGACTACGGGTGTATGAAAAGCTTGGTTAATATCGGTCACGGTATCAAACAAATCATCTTTTCAAACAACATGCTATACGTGTCGGTTTGTTGCGATATCAACTGAGAATCTAAAAATGTTCGCAGTTATGTAGAAAATCGGAGCGATAAGAAGTTCGCTATCTTTGATGTTTACCCTACAAACACAGTTTTTTGCTCGAGAAAGTTGTGCTATCTCGGTCCTATTGAGTTTTGATCTTGTACTAATAACATATTTCAGGGCTAAGATATGTTTATTACAAACATAATTCCGTCATTCTTTATGAGTGGACACGATGTTGTTAATCTATATGGAAATTTTTTTCGATGCTGCAGTTGATCGATATTTGATCTGGAAATTGCTTCATGAGATAATTTCCTATTATAAACCCTAAGAATTGCAGTCATACTCGTAGTCTACTTTAAATTTGTTGTTTGATTTTGTAAGCTCTCATGGAAATGACCCTGAGAAGCCTAGCTGTTTCTTTCGTAAGAATGTCCACAATTCTTTTTTGTTTTAAGAGTGATTCGAAATATGACTTTACTAGCTCATTGGCACATAATCTGTCCCGTTAACAGAATTCTTACGGTTCTAACCCGCATGGAAGCAATCGTGATCAAGTGCTTCAGGTGTCACCATTAATGCTGTCATTACTAATTTTGTGTGTCATCGCTCTATTACACACCTATCGATGATAGAAACACTTCATACATAATTTGTATTATTATACAGTATTTCGGAGCGCATGTGGCGCGGTGACTAGAGGTGCTCTGCGTCGTCCACAAGGTCGATGGGGTCGATCTCGCGCTCATGGCTCACCAAGCCATTTATCCCTCACGGGTCGGTAAATTGGTTCCAGACTGGTCTCAGACTTGTCAGGGAGGATAAGCACTGACTCGGTACAGCCGGAGGCCATCGCGAGTCATAGTAAAACCCCATATGCATTCATTCACCCTCAAACAAATTTAAAATTGATGAAGAATGCATGGCGCATCCTTCAAGGATTGATCAACGCCGAGAGCTTTATCCTTTATCCTTGGATGGTATTTTATTGGTGGTATAATAAGCGCTACTAGAATATCACATGCTTGAAGCTCAATACTAAATGAGCACGCCCTTAGAGTCAACATTATGATTTCGCCCCACGGCTCCACCTGATCCGGGTTTGATGCTGAATTGTGTTCACTAGATCATTCTTATTGTGTGGGGATTGCAGCTACCAATTACGGTTCACTTTCGGGACGATAGTAGGGTCTTGTGATCCCATAATTTTCATCCGAAGCACACGCAAGCAGTACGTGATCGAGTACATCGCTGAAGCATGCGGCGAAACTGCTGCGTCAAGTGTCAGAATGAATCTTGTTGATATCAGCGTTGTGTTTTGGCATATGAAGAAAAAACTATAAAATATTAAGGACTGTTGAGTTTGATAGATAGTTGGTTTCAGGTGTTACTAAAACGAGGTTTTTGCAAAAACTGAAGGGTCATTAAACTTTTGCTAATTTGGAACATAGACAGAAATCAATAGAGACGTAGTACATTGACTTGCGCTATTATGGCCTTGGAACGAATGCATTCCGTAGAGTGCAAAGTGCAAAGAAATGATGGAGAGCAGCCGTTTTTTACTCTCTTTATGCATAAAAGAACATGTGGTTACTATGAGACACAGAAGAACTTCGCTAAGGGTAATGGGATTCGTTTGTACAGACGCGCGGAACACAACGGTAATCGCTTCGACACAAAGTGCAAATTGCTCCCCACGGTACAAATTTCTCCTTTGTCTGTGAATTTTGTTGGTACCCTTATATGCTAGACTCAGTGAAAAAGAATGAATGACAACTGTGAATAGACGATAACCCAGAAGAAGTGCTTAAAGGCTCTACTTCCATAGTAACGGAATAGAGAAACGACTGCTCTCGCTGAACAAGAACTTTTCATAAGAGTATTAGTAACCATTCGAAAGCCTAAATCTCTCCCTACTGCGTTACATGGCCGTTCAAGAAAAAGAACGTTTGTAACAAAAAGTTCTGCAAGGCTTTCTCAAAAACAGCAACGTAGTGTATTAGCCTGCATTAGCCAGGGAGTTGACCTTCAGAATGATTACCAAAAGTACAACGGAAAGTTTTTGTCCAGCGAATGGGATCGATTTTCAACCTCCTGCCGTGCAAAAGAAAAGAACCCTATATCTTTCAATATTTTTACTTTGAGCACTTTATTGATTTGTCTTCACTGTGTTTTTTTTCACTGTACGGATCCCAATACTTCTACTATCCAAATCGGTTTTTTCCCCTTCTTCATGAGCGTTATATAATACTAGTTGAGCGAACGTTCTTGCGATCTCGAAAATAGCTAGGCTGGGGCATTCCTTAGAACGTTCGTTATTAACAGTCGGAGAGTGTTGGGAGACTTGGGATTAATTCCTCGTCGACTCCCGCCGAGCAACAGTACCATTTGGCCACAACACTCAGAATATCATGATTTTTGCATAATACTTTTATCTTTTGATACTTTTCCTGAACCTTTCGAAAATACTCCTATTTCAACCTCTGTTTGCCGTTAAAAGGCCATTGAGAAAAGATAGGGATTATCCGGCTGGATCGTGAGAATACCTTGACTACGACATATCTGGACACATTCAATAATCCCCGGGATGATCCCCATCCGTCGTCGACGAAGACGAGCTTCTGTGGCGATATCGTCGACTTGTTCGGTTCAGCCTCGGCTAAACCCCTGCTTCTAATCCTTGTTTGTTTTGTCCACGTCGCTATAGCATCGCCCGCCACTTCTATGCCGCAGTGTAGTTTTCTTCATAATTGCCCACGAAATATTAGCTTGATCTACCAGAATTCCTCATTTCACTGCTTCTCAAGCAGTGTTATGAGGTTGTAATGACGCATCTAAGAATGTTGAGTGGTACACAAAAACTCAGCCTCTGCCGGGAGTTGAAATCGCTCCTCTTCAGTGTCGGCGGGCGGCGCCTGCTACCACTACGTCACACGGAGCCCAGCGCTTTACTACCGTTCTATCGTCGATAATATTAGTTATTTAAGTGCTATTATTTATGAATACCATGTGAGGCGGTGGCTAATGCTGGAAATGCTATTTTTATTTATATCTATTATTTATATTTTTATTATTTATGTGCATTTGTATGTCATCTGTGTATTTCTGATCTATTTCTTTGCTCTCATGTTGTTTATTTGCCTATTATTTATTCTTCGAACGAAAAATTCAGTGCAACCAACGATGCTGAGTGATGAGCAAAATTTCCGCTGGCCGGGATTCGAACCCGCACCTCAACTTTCCGAGGCGCGTGCTTAACGAATTGCACTATCAGCGCCTGCTTTGCCACCACTCAATATCACTCAGTCAGCCGCCACTGGTAGTATATCTCAGTGACGTCATTGAGATCTCGCCCGTGAAACTTGTCCGTAAAATTTGGTGCTTGATCTGTAATTCGGCATAATCTATGCCGATTATGGGAAGGGAAGTTGTCCTGACATTTTTATACTTTTAGTTTCATTTTGATACTTTCTGTTTTTTTTTTATCTGACCGCCACTTGCGGTGGTATGATCTTGTGAAATATCTAATAATGTGGAGTACTGTGCAAAAACGCTTGCGTCAGCCGGGATTCGAACTCAGATCTCACTCTTTCCGGGAGCGTATGTTAACCGTTGCGCCACTGGATGTTTTTTTTTGCACAGCACTCCACATTATTGGGTATTTTCTGTTTTATTTTGCAAGAGAGACTTTTCGCTGCTAAGAAAAGCAAAGGCATTTTTCAGTTGGCGTTCATAACAATGGAGCTTAATAGGCCGTTTTATGCAGTTGGAGGATCTCTCTAGACGTAAATTCTCTTTCAAATCTGGATTCCTACGTTTTTTCTGAGTGAGCAAAACGGGCGTCAGTAGCGCAACGAGTTAGAGCTCGCGCGCTCCTGCATAGGGTGAGTTGCGGGTTCGAGTCCCGCCTGACGCAGAATTTTTGCACATCACTCTACATCGATGAGTATATCTATAACATCATACCACTGCTAGAAGCGATTGAATAAATAAGAATTCTGTGTGGTCATCTTTTTTTTGTTCCTATTTTTTCTTTTGGAAGAGAGAGCGAGAAGAGACTTCCGATGAAGTTGCGAATGCTTCTCCCAGCCGCCTCTGCCGCTTCGGCCATTATTGCTACTTGTCTCTTTTCAGTGTCTCTTTTGGTCGTCCTTCCGAAGTGTTTTGCAAGTCGTTTTACTTAGAGCGGAATAGAACGAAGCGAGTTTTAGTTGGCCGTTCATGATATTTGAGCTCAGTATGTCGTTTTATCTACGGAGGATCATTTTATACGTGAATAATTGCGTATTTTTTCATTATTATTTGAGCCAACTTGTCATGAGGTCTGGTAAGGGCTCTTGTACAGCCCGAGACACGTGTTTCGTCCTTACAGACTCGTCAGTCAGGCAGAACCCGTCGTCTTTCGATATTTCTAAAATCAGTTCTCTCGGGAGCTCTGCTACCTTACAGAGAGTCATCGAAGACGAACGTTTTACACTCTATGTCAAGCGAAATTTTCACCTATCACAGAGCGTTTGCGCACTCGATTGCTCGTTGGCTGGTACTTTTATCATAATAATACCTTTATTTCGAGTGCTTTGTTTAGACCACGCTCAAATTTCAATATATCCTTACTTTATTATCTGAGCCAACTTGTCATGTGGTCTGCTCATCTTAATAAAACACTTGAAATAAAGGTATAATTGCGTATTTTTTGACGGGTAGACATGAGGTTTTACGATACTATATGTTTTTCAAGTACTTATAATTTGCTCAATGCCGGGGTGATTCTTTTCAGTTATTCGAGAACAGATGAATTTTAACCTTATTCGCTATGCAAGATTTTTTCATTGGCGTGTTAGTAATCATTCGAAAGCTAAAATCTCTGGCTAGAGCCCTACGTGACTGGTTTTCTAAAAGACCCTCTCATAACGCTATAAAATCTAAAGCAAAATTATGTTTCACGTCGGACTTCCGGTTCAACTATTGCTGCTTCTCTGGAGGCATGAAGGCACATGAACGTGTAGAAAAAAACCTCCTAGCGTTAGAGTCAGACGTTTGATCTGGAGTTTCGAGAAGCAGTTCCTAATTGAATAACAAGAATCGTTCTTTGCTGTGGCCCGCGGAAGGGCCAGTCGTTCGATCGCCGTGTTGAATCGGCCTCATCCGCCCTTGGCCCTGCCCCCTCCACCCCGTAGTGAAAGCCCAAATCCCCCTTGCCCGCGTAGGTGAATGTGATCTTATTTTCCCTGCTGAACTGCAGAGAAACCGTCTTTCTGGAAAATAAGCACAGCGCTGAAATGTTTAAATCATACACTATCGAGTGATTACTAATAGTCCTAAAAAGGAGCTTTGTCGGGCGAGAAATATGCGCAGGTGAAACTTAATTCAATTTTGAACTTTACAGCGTTATAAAGGGTTGTTTTGAAAAACCGACGACGTACGGCTCTAGCTAGAGATTTAAGCTTTCGAATGAGTATTAACTTTCCTATGAAAAATTCTTGGACAGCGAATGAGGTCAAATATTCATTTGTTCGTTTCCTTATAACCGAAAAGCGCCTCGAGATCAATCGATAGCCGGTCTTGTAGAATTACTATAGTTGTAGTTCCTTGTTATTTTGAAATAGTCCGATCTAGTTTCTCCTGCGGCTTTTCTTGCGTGCATTCTTCTTCTGGAACTTTTCTGAATTCCAAATTTTTGTTTTACTATCGCAGTTCTTATGGTTCCACACCCAAGTTTAAATGTGATAAATGAAGAAGTAGGTGGCGTAGTGGTAAGATGCGCTCCCGGTATGGGTGAATCGCGAGGTCAACTCCCTCCTGAGGCGGAGTTTTGCCTACCACTCCTTTCTCTTAGATATACTTGAAATATTATACCACTGCGAAAAAGCACTTAAGAAAGCATAAGAAATCATATTTGAGGATGATCAGGTTTTTGACATCGCTATCAATTGTAGCGATTATCTGATCAATTGGCAGACGATCTTACATCCGTGGAGAATTCAGCGCTTTGTCGACCCCGGTACTTGTTGTTTATTCGGTAGGGAATGATGAGGTTGTGGTGTTGTCTCTTAAGAAGGCCAACTAGACTCGGCAATGAGGAGTAATCGTGACCAGTCGGACTTGTTTTCCTCCACTTAAATCACCTGCTAGGCTTCCTTCGTCTTCCAAAGCCACCTACCTCTTTAATCTGCCTCCAACTGCCTCCAGTTTTTTCACCCACACCCGTTTATCGAGCCAAAAATAACCCATAATCTCTTAAGGTGAAAGTTCACTGAGTCAGACATCGAGTTGAAAGAACTTCTAATCTCTCTTAGCGAACGGCGAGAATCGTAGTTGGGACGTGAAGTTCCAGGACTCTCTTCGAGCGCTGAGGAAAGCGAGTATTCCGACTTCAAGAGGGTATTCTTCAGTGTTTTGAATTTGAAGTGAACACTGTGAAAGGGATCAATACGCATTCACATATCTCCGTTTTCCGGAGTTTTTTCAGGCCGATTTCGAGGCTTGATCTTATTTAATCTAATGATTTAACTGAGGATTTTGCCAGCCATCCTTATGAGCTTTTCCTGCTGATCCGTATAGATGACAAAGGTTTAGAAGAGTTGTCTCGTCTGGAAAATTTTGGTTCACAGATGTGTCGAGTGGTAGTATCGCTTATTCAAACGAACCAAACAGGCACACACAACGTTGAGAGGCAAATTTGTCGGAACGCAATCCGCTTAGCGACGACAACGACGACGACGACTCCCTCAACCTCTCTCGCGGTCATCTCCAAATACCTCACCTCCAGCCAACAACACTCCATTTGGTTCACTCTTGTTGACTTGACCTCTTCATCACAAAAACCTAGTGGCTAGCAATAACTGTCAAAACCGACTAGTTGTTGACCTCGGCATTCCTCAGTAATTCCCAGATCATTTTGCAAATCAAACGCGAAGTGTTCATATTAGGTCGTTCCCTATGCATTGACTATTGAGTAATAAACAGAAGATTAATTAGCCAGAAGTAATTAAAATCACACGGTTTTGGTGTCGTTCAATTGCGCATTTTCTTGTGAACATTTCGGTATACAACTTGCCTATACTTGCTCTGAGATGGAGCTGTCCTGGGAACAAATTGGCTTGCTACACTTGCATGAATGGCGCGTAGAGGAAAATGCTAGTGACGCGGCGCGCTGGATTAATGAGGCTTTCTGTGGAGGGCCCGAGCACGACTGATTCTCGAGACCGTTCTCTCCAGCTTCGAACTTCGCTAACCACTACCTAGCCGTCCTTTCTGCTGCCGTAGCATCACCGCAAGCTCCATAAATCTTGTGCGCGCTTCGCTAGCATTTTTCTCTACGCGCCATTCGTGTAATAGTAGCAAGCGAATTTGTTCCCAGGACAGCTCCATCTCAATGCAAGTATAGGCAAGTTGTATTGTATGCCAAAATGTTTACAAGAAAATGCGTAATTGGACGATACCAAAATTGTGTATTTTTGATTACTTTTGGTCAGTAAATTTGATGATTATCGCTCTAGTGCCAAAACTTGAGCAGCGACCTAATATGACAACCTCGCGTTTGGATTACCAATAGAGATCTGGGATTTATTGAAAGTGCAGAGGTTAATATCTAATCGGTCTTGAGCTGACCATTAAGCTTTTGTGATGATGAGGTTAACGAGAAAGAGTGAACACTCTCTCAACCTCTCGCGCGGTCATCTCCAAATACCTCCACTCACCTTCATCCAAGAACTCTCCATTTGGTTCACTCTTGTTCACCTCACCATCCCAGAAGCTTAGTGGTCACTAACAACTCCCAAGACCGGCTATCTATTGTTCTCGGTTTTCTCAAATCACTCTTAGGTGTTTAGTAAGCCAAACGCGAGGTTGTCGTAATAAAATTCATTCGGTCAGTTGAAGTCTTGGCAGTTTCACCTTCTTTAGAATATGGAAAGATTGGGTTACTCAAAACTCTGCGTCAAACATCTCCATTACTCTAACGGGAAATATCACCAAATTGTCTTTCAATCGCATCAAGCACAAAAACAACTTCGACGTACTGACGCGGTTTTTCTAAGTCTTCCAATGAGTTGTTCGAGTGGAGACTTCCAGGCGGACACCAAATGGACTCTTTAAGCACCTTTCACATAAAAATAACAGTCTTATATATACAGTTTTATACGATCGTAGGTGGTCAGTCTTGTGGACTTCCTTGAATACAAATTCTTTGATCTGAAAACGAAGCCATTTTAAGCCAGTAACCGAATGGTTAGCGATACTGGTGCGGCTCAACGCGGAATTGAACTCGCACTGCTCACAGCGCTCTGGCAATCAATAGCGAACGCCCTTGGGAACACCCCAGCCTGGCTGTCCTCTAGATTACAAGGAAACGTACTCGTTCTGTGTTCTGCGACGTTCGTGAAGAAGCGAGGAGACGAGGAGAATGCTAGATATATTGGAATCCGTGCAAGGAAAGAAGTAGTATGCGGGTCAAATAGAATGAAGTAAAGGGTTAAATTCTCCTTCAAATTTATCTCATTTCATGATCCCTGCCGCATAAATCTCTTTTATATAGGGATCATTTGGTGATATTATGTTAGAATAGATGAACCACAGATTTACTCTTGATCATGCCCACCTGGTAAAATGTGAACGGAATTCTTTTTATTTGGCCTCTTTTAGCGGTGGTGTGATGTTATAGACATATCTCAGTAATGTAGAGTAATGTGCAAAACTTTCGCGTCAGCCGGGACTCGAACCCGCATCTTTCTCCATCCGGGAGGTTTGAGTTCCGCCTAACGCGAAAGAATGTTAACACATTGATGCTGGCATAGTATGCCGGCCGTAGACTATTACTGGTTTTGTTATGTCCCGTAGTTTTTCAGTGAAACCCCACTTTGTTCCGAAGTGCTATTGAGATAGATTTGGTCGAAGAGACCGTAAAAAAGTTCCATT